CTTTTTCTCTTTAGAGCTTTTCCAGAATTATACATGTGGGGCATGGGCAGCACCTTTTTTAGACCTCAACCAACTATAGATATAAAATTTGAATTTTACTTAATACTAAGAAAAATGCACTCACAATTAATCTGAGTGCCTCCCATACCACCCCTCCTTATATCTATTTTTTTGTTTCCTTTTTTTCATGTTAACTGTCCTTCAGACAACTTCTTTTCTTGTAGATTGATTTGTTCCATCTAAATGTACCATTTCTGATTTCAAAATCTTTTTTAAAGTACTGTATGTAAAGAGATCAAGTAATAACTGAAGTAATCTGTTCACATACAAGGTTATCTCCCCTATACAGACTAAGGATAATTCTTCGTGTTTACTGTATGTAAAGAGATCAAGTAATAACTGAAGTAATCTGTTCTCATACAAGGTTATCACCCCTATACGGACTGAGGATAATTCCTGGTGTTTACTGTATGTAAAGAGATCAAGTAATAACTGAAGTAATCTGTTCTTTTACTAGGTTATCTCCCCTATACAGACTGAGGATAATTCCTGGTGTTTAGTGTATGTAAAGAGATCAAGTAATAACTGAAGTAATCTGTTCCCATACATGGTTATCTCCCCTATACAGACTGAGGATAATTCCTCGTGTTTACTGTATGTAAAGAGATCAAGTAATAACTGAAGTAATCTGTTCACATACAAGGTTATCTCCCCTATACAGACTGAAGATAATTCCTGGTGTTACTGTATATAAAGTGATCAAGTAATAACTGAAGTAATTTGTTCTCATACTAGGTTATCTCCCCTTTACAGACTGAGGATAATTCCTGGTGTTTACTGTATGTAAAGAGATCAAGTAATAACTGAAGTAATCTGTTCTTTTACTAGATAATCTCCCCTATACAGACTGAGGATTATTCCTGGTATTTACTGTATGTAAAGAGATCAAGTAATAACTGAAGTAATCTGTTCATATACAAGGTTATCTCCCCTATACAGACTGAGGATAATTCCTTGTGTTTAATGTATGTAAAGTGATCAAGTAATAACTGAAGTAATCTGTTCTCATACTAGGTTATCTCCCCTATACAGACTGAGGATAATTCCTTGTGTTTACTGTATGTAAAGAGATCAAGTAATAACTGAAGTAATCTGTTCACATACAAGGTTATCTCCCCTATACAGACTGAGGATAATTCCTTGTGTTTACTGTATGTAAAGTGATCAAGTAATAACTGAAGTAATCTGTTCACATACAAGGTAATCTCCCCTATACAGACGGGATAATTCCTGGTGTTTACTGTATGTAAAGAGATTAGGTAATAACTGAAGTAATCTGTTCACATACAAGGTTATCTCCCCTATACAGACTGAGGATAATTCCTGGTGTTTACTGTATGTAAAGAGATCAAGTAATAACTGAAGTAATCTGTTCTTTTACTAGGTTATCTCCCCTATACAGACTGAGGATAATTCCTGGTGTTTAGTGTATGTAAAGAGATCAAGTAATAACTGAAGTAATCCGTTCTTTTACTAGATTATCTCCCCTATACAGACTGAGGATTATTCCTGGTATTTACTGTATGTAAAGAGATCAAGTAATAACTGAAGTAATCTGTTCATATACAAGGTTATCTCCCCTATACAGACTGAGGATAATTCCTTGTGTTTACTGTATGTAAAGAGATCAAGTAATAACTGAAGTAATCTGTTCTCATACTAGGTTATCTCCCCTATACAGACTGAGGATAATTCCTTGTGTTTACTGTATGTAAAGAGATCAAGTAATAACTGAAGTAATCTGTTCACATACAAGGTTATCTCCCCTATACAGACTGAGGATAATTCCTTGTGTTTACTGTATGTAAAGTGATCAAGTAATAACTGAAGTAATCTGTTCACATACAAGGTTATCTCCCCTTTACAGACTGGGGATAATTCCTGGTGTTTACTGTATGTAAAGAGATTAGGTAATAACTGAAGTAATCTGTTCACATACAAGGTTATCTCCCCTATACAGACTGAGGATAATTCCTTGTGTTTACTGTATGTAAAGAGATCAAGTAATAACTGAAGTAATCTGTTCTTTTACTAGGTTATCTCCCTTATACAGACTGAGGATAATTCCTGGTGTTTACTGTATGTAAAGAGATCAAGTAATAACTGAAGTAATCTGTTCACATACAAGGTTATCTCCCCTATACAGACTGAGGATAATTCCTGGTGTTTAGTGTATGTAAAGAGATCAAGTAATGACTGAAGTAATCTGTTCACATACAAGGTTATCTCCCCTATACAGACTGAGGATAATTCCTTGTGTTTACTGTATGTAAAGTGATAAAGTAATAACTGATGTAATCTGTTCTTTTACTAGGTTATCTCCCTTATACTGACTGAGGATAATTCCTGGTGTTTACTGTATGTAAAGAGATCAAGTAATAACTGAAGTAATCTGTTCACATACAAGGTTATCTCCCCTATACAGACTGGGGATAATTCCTCGTGTTTACTGTATGTAAAGAGATTAGGTAATAACTGAAGTAATCTGTTCACATACAAGGTTATCTCCCCTATACAGACTGAGGATAATTCCTCGTGTTTACTGTATGTAAAGAGATCAAGTAATAACTGAAGTAATCTGTTCACATACAAGGTTATCTCCCCTATACAGACTGAGGATAATTCCTTGTGTTTACTGTATGTAAAGTGATCAAGTAATAACTGAAGTAATCTGTTCTTTTACTAGGTTATCTCCCCTATACAGACTGGGGATAATTCCTCGTGTTTACTGTATGTAAAGAGATTAGGTAATAACTGAAGTAATCTGTTCACATACAAGGTTATCTCCCCTATACAGACTGAGGATAATTCCTTGTGTTTACTGTATGTAAAGTGATCAAGTAATAACTGAAGTAATCTGTTCACATACAAGGTTATCTCCCTTCTTCTTCTTCTTCTTCTTCCGAATACGGGAGTAGACTCCTAGGTAGGAGTGTAAAACTTCCCGAAACTTGTGTGCTATGTACATATGGACTTAATTTAAAAATAATATGACAAAGAAAAATCATTAACAATAACATATATACATTATGTACAGTGGCTTTGTAGTTTAATAAGTTGTTGTGGCTCCTTCAAATGTTAGAGTGGATATGCCACTTTTGAAGGATTCCAGGGTGTCAGACATACCTATTGCTTCAGGTAGTGAGTTCCAGTCCGAAATAGTGCGAGGATAAAAAGAAAATTTATAGAAATCTTTATTTGTTGATATTTGCCTAAATTTATGTTTCCCCCTAGTACGTCTATCAGATATTGTTAAATTGTCCTTAGGAACTTCCACTAACCCCCAATTTATTTTATATAGCATAGTTAATCTAGCTTTTTTCCTTCTTATTTCTAAATTTTCCCATTCCAATGATTTAATTAAATTTGAAACTGCTCCAGGTGATGTGTCTTTATAATCATTGAAGACAAACCTGGCTGCCTTACGCTGTACCTGCTCAACCTGAGTGATGTGTTGCTTTTTGTACGGGTCCCATACAGGGGAAGAGTATTCGACGACTGGACGGACAAGTGATGTGTACGTAAGGTTTTTAACCTTACGTGTGCAGTTTTTTAAGTTCCTACGAAGAAAACCTAAGGTTTTATTTGCCTTACAGGTAATATTGTTTATATGTGTTCCCCAATCAAGATCATGGCTTATAGTTACGCCTAAATATTTACTATCTTTTACTCCCCTATACAGACTGAGGATAATTCCTTGTGTTTACTGTATGTAAAGTGATCAAGTAATAACTGAAGTAATCTGTTCTTTTACTAGGTTATCTCCCTTATACAGACTGAGGATAATTCCTTGTGTTTACTGTATGTAAAGAGATCAAGTAATAACTGAAGTAATCTGTTCACATACAAGGTTATCTCCCCTATACAGACTGAGGATATTTCCTTGTGTTTACTGTATGTAAAGTGATCAAGTAATAACTGAAGTAATCTGTTCTTTTACTAGGTTATCTCCCCTATACAGACTGAGGATAATTCCTTGTGTTTACTGTATGTAAAGAGATCAAGTAATAACTGAAGTAATCTGTTCACATACAAGGTTATCTCCCCTATACAGACTGGGGATAATTCCTCGTGTTTACTGTATGTAAAGAGATTAGGTAATAACTGAAGTAATCTGTTCACATACAAGGTTATCTCCCCTATACAGACTGAGGATAATTCCTCGTGTTTACTGTATGTAAAGAGATCAAGTAATAACTGAAGTAATCTGTTCACATACAAGGTTATCTCCCCTATACAGACTGAGGATAATTCCTTGTGTTTACTGTATGTAAAGTGATCAAGTAATAACTGAAGTAATCTGTTCTTTTACTAGGTTATCTCCCCTATACAGACTGGGGATAATTCCTCGTGTTTACTGTATGTAAAGAGATTAGGTAATAACTGAAGTAATCTGTTCACATACAAGGTTATCTCCCCTATACAGACTGAGGATAATTCCTTGTGTTTACTGTATGTAAAGAGATCAAGTAATAACTGAAGTAATCTGTTCTCATACTAGGTTATCTCCCCTATACAGACTGAGGATAATTCCTTGACTAAGAAATTTCTTTTTAAAACTTGTGTACGGGAATAGTCATTTGCATTTGTATCTTGAATAACCATAAAAAAACAACTGTTTTGGCCGATAGAATTATCAACTAGTATCAGTTCATGAATTTCCTGTTTACTCTCTATTGGATATCTGAGGACGATGCTCAGATTCAGGTTAAATCTGTTTCTTTATGAACCAACGACCAAAGGGTAAAATGCCTTCATGCAAGCAAACTCTTTTTCAAAAGTGTTCCGAAACAAAACTATGCTTAAGCCTAAATTTTTTCACACTAATTTTAACCCCTGCATCATGAGATGATATTTTTATAAAGAATAGATTTTGCCAGTTTTAAGGTTTTAAAAGACCTTACTAACCACAAAGAATCTATTCATAATAAATAATAAAGAAATATGCAACATTTTATTTACAAGCTAATGATATGCACATTTTATTTACAAGCTAATGATATGTACATTTTATTTATATCAAAAACATACTAACAGAATACTTTAACAAACAATATAATAATTAATGATAATGTTTAACAATTACAACCAAAACCATACATATGTTAAACAACTTTGTTGCAACTGTTCAATTAAATTTTAAAATTTGTTTTACATCCAATCTGTATGATTTGGTTTCTTTTCAGTTTCACTCCTTTGCTGTAACTAGTTTAGTTGCAAGTAATATTGTTTCAATTTCAATTTTTATTTTGAAGCTATTCAAAACATTTTTCATTGTCCAATATTGTAGGGGGCCTCAGTGACTGAGTATAGTCTAAGCAGTCAATCTTCTTTATCACTAGCGTGTCAACACTGAGGTTGGGAGTTAGAATCCCAATTAATCCAATTTTGTAATCAATATAACTGGCTTCCTTTGATCTTACCTAAGAATTACCCAAGTTCAACCAGAGCAATTTGGTTCATAACATATATACTACTTATAAAAAATAGGAAAATTGGTTAATATATTTATAGTTTCAGTATTGCAACTCATTCAGTTACAAAAGTTCACAGCCATTAAAACATACTAAATGTTCAAAAGTTACATCAAACATGAATGTAAACAGACGTTTTTCCATGCAAATAAATTTGATACTGCAAATTCCAAATTTATCATGCATTTATTATTGCAATTTTTGAAGAAAGCACAAAAATGTGAGATAAATTATTGAGATTTCAGGAAAATCTGCATACAAAAATGTATCAACTATCAGCACTGCCTGTAACCGAGTATGGCAGAAAATGATTTTCCCCCATTATAGTACAAAAATGTACTGATTTTCCTCGATTTTGTACTGATTGTTCATGATAAATTTTACACTATAGTTCTGTTATTCAATTTAAGTAGCTTGAACTAATCAATTGGTTAAAGATCATTTATTCTGTCTGGTCAGCAGTCATTAGTAAGTGATATCCTGAGGTGGGATTGCTTTGAAGTTACATCATGACCTTCCTTATTCTTTGTTTTGATGTTGTTGTAGCTGATTTGAGTAAAAAAAATCTGTTTTAGTCTGCTTTTAGAAAACTGGGAATATAAATTAGATTTTTTTCATGAAATTTTGTTCAAATATAATAATCTGAAAAATGCAAGTAGAAATTTGGACAAAATAAGCATTTAAATGGGAAAAAAACTAGCAATTAAACTTGAGCTTTGGTGTACAGATTGTCCCCGATCAGCTTGTGTTGATTACAGATTTTCCCTGACACCTATACAGATTGTCCCCGATTTTGAAAAAGCTAATCCTTCAAAAATAAAGCTTATATGTGGATCTTCATTACACTTAGGCATGTGCTAATAAAAATAGTGGAATATATGAAAAATTTTCCTGCAAACCTGTAATTCTATAATTTTATATATAAAATTGAATTAGAGATTTTTTTGTTCATTGATATTTCATTGTTTGATTCTGAAACTTTAAACAGGTTTCTTCTTGCTTGGGGTTCATAACTTACTGTTTGTATATTTCTGGATTCATAGTTTGGTGAATTTGATAAATTGTCTGAAAAGGTTAGAGATTGTGATGATTTGCCTTTTTTGATAATCTTTTGTGGTGTATTTGTTGATAAGTTACAAATTATAATTTTTTCATCTTGTATTTCAATAAAAGTTTTTCCTTCTCTGTCAAGAAGTTCTGGAATGAATGCATGGTATGTTATCTTTCACCACCCTCTTCAAGTCTTCTCCAAATGACAAGTTTTTCAGATGGATGTGTCTTCTGATGGTGAGCTACTATTTCTTCAAAAATGACATTTTTAGAAAGTTGATATTTTTTTGCAAGTAACAGTTAAAGATAAAACTTAGAATGAACCTTTTTCCTTATGATGCTATAAGAGAAAATCGGGGAAAATCTGTAATTAACTTCATCTTCTCTGGGACAATCTGTACACTGATAGTGGACAATCAGTACACTGCTTCAGAAATTGAAATCATATTTTTTTTAGTATTTTCCTAATCTCCTTAAAAAAGTACTTCCAGCTTTAAGCTTACTTAATTTGCACATTTGAATAAGTATTCTATAATTAGAGAAATAACATTTAGATATTTGAATAATATAAGAAAATCACTTCCCATGAATTCCTTGCTTCGGAAAAGTTTCTATTTTTAGGATTGGTCATTAAAATCCATATTGTCCATGGGAGGTCAATGATAAAAATGTATGAATGAAAAGGAAGGTTGCATAATTATTGACACAGATTTTCTTTAATTCATATATAATTACCCTTTTGATGTTCTCTACATAGGAAAATCGGGGAAAAATCAGTAATCAATCGGGAAAATCAGTACTGTAATCGGGGGAAAATCACTTTCTGCCTTCCTCGGTTACAGGCAGTGATCAGAATGTGACTTCTTATTATTGGGATACTCACCTAGTGGCATTATTCTCTATAATAAAAACCTTGGATTAATTACTGAATTTACAGTGTATGATATTTTCACAAACTAATCAATTTGATCGACCAACAATCTACACTGTCTTAAAAGCAACAAACCATAATCTGAGGATATTAAAATTTTTGCAGAGAAAACCCTAATTGAATAAACAGATATGACTTAATTCAAGCAAAATACAGTTTTTCTGTTTTTACAATATTGTATTTCATTTTCATGGAGTTATAACCAATGAGTTCATCATTATAGTATATATAGCACCTACATTAATGGCTACAGCAATAAAGGTACCAGCAAAGATGACACCAGTCTCTATCAAGACAAAATCTGAAACACACAAAAAAAATACACATAAAAAGATATGATACAAATCATGATCTTAAAATTTGCTGGACATGCTAATCTTTACAGACAAGGTTTATTCAGGTGAAAGTAAATTTTACTGCAGTATTTATGTATACAAACAAAATTCTGGCTTAATATTTCATTTCAATAATTTTTTACACTGCAAAACAATCATAAACAAGTCTGTCATGAACAGATATACTGATGAATCAAATTGAACTCTGATTTGTCGGTACATGTATTTGGTTTCTAATTGTTATGAATACTTTAAATGAACTGTTCAATTATTTGTAAATGTTAATTAGAAGTTTATATGCTGAGGAAATACTCACATGACATTAAATAAAAAAAATGCACAAAAACAACAGGAGAAATTTTCCACCAGCATATCATAAATAAAATGCTTCGCTGGGGCGCAGCTTGATACGACCGCAGAGGTCGAACCCTGAACAGTTGGGGCAAGTATGGACACAAAATTCAAGCTTGATACAGCTATGACTTTGGATTGTCATTAAATATTTGACACAGCATAGGTTTCTGACACAGGATGAATGTGGTGTAAGAACTGGAAAAAATTTAATTTACCTATTATGGTGGAATATCCATAAACTAAATTGTTTGTTAATTTCAATATATCAAAGAATATGTAGAATTCAATGTTTGATGTAATGTAATAAAGTTGAAATTTGGACCGTTTTTGTTCAATGTGGACCAATTTGGTAACATTTATAAATAATCAAAAATCTAAATACATGGGAGCCCATTTAAATACATCATAAAGGTATTAAAATAGAAAGTGACATCATAGTCTTGGCTAAAAATAAACAAAAATCCTTAATCAGCAACATTTAAAGTAATATCTAAAAATAAAATTCCTTTGTAACCATAAAAGCCCATTTAAATACATCATAAAGATATTAAAATAGAAAATGACATCATAGTCATGGCTAAACATAGCAAAAAACCCTTAATCAGCATCATTTAACAGTAATATCTAAAAAGGGAAATTACATCATAAAGGTATTAAAATAGAAAATGACATCATAGTCATGGCTAAAAATAAACAAAATCCTTAATCAGCATCAGCAACATTTTATAGTAATATCTAAAAATAAAATTCCTTTGTAACCATAAAAGCCCATTTAAATACATCATAACAGATATTAAAATAGAAAATGACATCATAGTCATGGCTAAACATAGCAAAAACCTTAATCAGCATCATTTAACAGTAATATCTAATCAAAGAGCTGAAAGCTCTGAGTAAAAATGACGCCACTGTCTCTAATATTGAGATATTTTTTATGCAAGTCTTGATTTTCACATGTCGTAATAAGTTTAACATGTCTCGTAAGCATATAATTGATATTCGTATATGTGTTTGTTTTTTCAGTATAAATGAATAGGTCAAGACTACCTGAATGATCTACAGTATCCAATTACTACTGGCTTTTTTTTGTATAAATAAATAGGTCAAGACTACCGGAATGATCTACAATATCCAATGACTACTGGCTGTTCTTTTGTACTAATAAAAAGGTCAAGACTATTTGAATGATCTACAATATCCAATGACTACTGGCTGTTCTTTTGTACATGTACATATAAATAAAGACTACTTGAATGATCTAAAGTATTCTAAGTAATGTGATTTTTTTCTTGCAATTACATTTTTCTAAATCAAGAATATAGACTACTAGTATCCTTTTCAAACCAAATGATTATGAAGAGCCTGGTGTTAGCAAGCTCTCATACCCCACATACTCATTAAATAAGGTACTAGTGACCTAGTTATTTCTGTTACTTGAAGCAAATTATATTTCTGTATATTTAGACAATAGTATAATATTGTTTTACTAGTTTTATTTCACCTTGAAGATTAGACAAATAGGGATACTCCTTCGATTTTTTATTTCATGTCAGTCAGGTCGCTTTATATGAAACTTGAAACCACTTCTCTGCCATATTGTTATTTTATAACATCTCTGCCCTTGACCATGTTGAACCATGTAATTGATATTCATTCTTTAACCATATATCATAGTCAGTTAGTTTTTGATTTTGCACTCCCACGCCACCTTTCATGTCTTTCAGGTCAAATTTCTGTCTCCATTTAAGTTAATGACATTGAACAATCATGGTATTAAACACAATTTCAATAGTGATAATGCTGTTCTCGTGGGTCAATATATATTCAACTTGGGTAGCATTCCAGTTATTGAAATTTGTGTCAGATTAGAACAATTATCTAGATCTTTAGGAATGGATCTTATAATTTAATATGGAGCCATAGTATGGGACCCCTACACGGTAACAAAAAAAAAACAAGCTTGAAAGGATACAATGTCAAGCGGCAAAATCTATCACCAGAGATTACAAGTCAAAAGAGGATGGACGGGATACGTCTCTAAAATGCTTGCTGAACTGGAACTACAGCAAGATCTCCAGACAAGACGTACAAAGCGTTGAAGCCAGAAGTTAATATTTATGTAAAAAGTAGTTGAGGGGCTGATTCCCGCTATTGAACCATACTGTCATTCTATAATATCATTGCGTAAGTATTTCTGTATTGGCCTTGTTATTGGTCCATGTCTTGGGTGTATTGGTCTGAGGCGAAGCGGAATGCCAATACTGCTGGCCGAGGACCAATAATAAGGCCAATACAAAAATACATGTAATAGTATTTTTATTAATTAACTACAGTGTTACAATATTTTTTTTATTTCATTTCACAAGAGATAAACATTTTCACCTTGAAGTGGAACTATCCAAATCTCAGATTCTTTTTATAAGATGCAATATCTAATGATTCTGTGCCGTTTGAAGTATCTTCAGCCTGTTCTCATCTGATGAATTTTTCTACCCTTTCCAGTCACTATAAAGTGTTACAACTTTAATTTAGACACAACACATAAAAAATAATTGGAAAGGTACTGCCATTGCATGTGTAATGCAAATATATTTAAAAAAAAAATAATGTAAGAGTTGAAATTGATACAACTATCCATAAGCCAATTGACCAAAGAACGAAGATTTGCACAATTACAGAATGCATATAAAATTGAGAATGGAAATGGGGAATGTGTCAAAGAGACAACAACCCGACCATAGAGCAGACACCAGCCGAAGGCCACCAATGGGTCTTCAATGCAACGAGAAACTCCCGAACCCAGAGGCGTCCTTCAGCTGGCCCCTAAACAAATATGTATACTAGTTCAGTGATAATGGACGTCATACTAAACTCCAAATTATACACAAGAAACTAAAATTAAAAATGATACAAGACTAACAAAGGCCAGAGGCTCCTGACTTGGGACAGGCGCAAAAATGCGGCGAGGTTAAACATGTTTTTTGAGGCCTGGTTCGGGTTTAAAAATAAACGATCGTTTAAATACAAAACATGAGAAGCGACAGTAAACAGTAAAAATCGATTTGTACCATCGACATGATGAAATTATGAGGTCGTCAAGAAATGAACTTTGTGATAATTTACTCGTTCCCCAAACCTGAAATAATCCCATTGTCTACTTTCAAAATGCTTTTTAATGAATGGGACCGTCTTTAACCTAAAATATATGCCATACTGAACGTTTCAACTTGTTTATGGTGAGTAAACCTGCGTCTTACAAACAACTGTTTACTTTCAGTTTGAGTTTATCGTGACTTACGATCTAAAAACTAAAGACGTTCCGAAATCCTGATTGTAAACAAAGATTCATACGCACCGCGTGGGTATAACCGTATTACTAATTTCCGATTTTTAAAATCTTCGTAAATCTGGATAAAAACCAGTTTCTATCCAATGGATATCAAAATTATTCCGATTTTCACTTTTTTAATGATTGTAAAGTTGAAATGGCATGAAAGGCTAACATTATTGAGGAGAACTATTTTGTCTAGCGATTGCTGATCATTGGAGGGTAAAAAGTCCAACACCATAACAAAACGGATCTATTTATCATGTATACATACCGATTGTTTATTGTAAGACATGTGCATAAAAGTGAAAGCTCGAATAAATATGAAAAATATAACAAAGGGATAGCTCTAAATACCATTTAATAACAAAAAACATATGGACAGGTCAAGATATCTTTTTGGTAAATAAAATAAAGTATGTAAACTGGTTCCCGTCCGACTACAACACTTTGTTCGAGTGTAGCGTAATACAAGCAGATTCCAGTTAGTATGTAAAATAGTAAATATGAAACCGAGTGCGGTAGGCGGAGGCAATAATCGACTTCCGTAAGTTCTGGTCACTGGTATCGGAAACATGCCGCTGATAGCGTCATTTTCCAAAAATAAAAATTTCTTTGCAACCATAAAAGTAAAATAGAAAATGACATCATAATCATAGCTAAAAATAAACAAAAATTTTTTTTATTGGCAAATTTTAAATGGAGTTTATTATACTAAAACAATAAATTTGCAACCATAAACATGATAAAACTCCATTTAAACACATCATAAAAGTATTAAATAATTCAACTACATCATAAGGCTATAAAAATAGAAAATGACTTCATAGTCAAGGCTAAAGGTAAACAAAAAACCTTCATCAGCAAAATTTTATATTGGCAAATTTCCAATGAAGTTTATTACACTAAAATTGTTGGCAAATTTCCAATGCATTTATTAACAATAAAGTTATTGGCAAATTTCCAATTTACATAATTTAAAAGCAGTGTAGATGAGATATTTAAATGAGTTTGAATTACCAACCTTACACTGCTTTTAAATAATATTCTTTACTCAATTATTTGTCTATTAAAATGGAAACCCTTGTTTTTTAACCTTTTTTCCCCTTATTCCTTAAACATTAGAGCCATAACCACCCCCCCCCCCCCCCCCCCCAAAGCCAATTATTACTTTCCAATATAACCTAAATTTCCAATATACATAAGTTTAAATTTCAATTCCTCATGATATATAACCGTATCATTATTATTTTCTTTCATATATAAATCTAAAACAACCATCTTTAATTGGAAAATTTTAAAGAAAAAAAAAGGAAAAAAAAAAATCCTACCCCCCACACATTTTTTCAACCCCCTTTTGATTCATCATCCCCCACCTCAATCACAACCTTCAATTTGTGGTATGGTACATTGCAATACAATTTCACAGAGATCCATACACTTGAACACAAGTTTTTGTTGCAAACTAAAAAAATCCTTATTTTCAACCAATATTTGGCCCCTTATTCATAAATGTTTGAGCAATTAACCCCAAAACTCAATTCCTACTTTCTCTTCGTGATAAAAAATAACTAACTTAAAATGTAAATTTTAAACAAAAAAAAAAGGAAAAAAAAAAATTACCCCTTTTTTGACCCCCGCCCCCCTTATGATTCATCACCCCCACCCCCTTTCTCCCCAAACCAAGCTCAATAACAGCCTTGCCTTTGTGGTATGGTACCTTGTAATACAATTTTAGAGAGATCCATACACTTGAACACAAGTTATTGTCTAGAAACTAAAAAATGCTTATTTTAAACCCCTTTTTAGGCCCCTTATTACTAAATGTTTTGGGCAATTACCACAACACTCAATTCCAGCTTTCCCTTTGTGAAATGGAACCTTGTAGTAAAATTTCAGAAAGATCCATACACTTACACACAAGTTATTGTCATGAAACTAGAAAAATGCTTGTTTTTTGCCCCCTTTTGGCCCCTTATTCCTAAAATTTTGAGGCAATTAACCCCAAAATCAATCCCAGCATTGACCCTTTGTGATATGGAATCTTGTGGTACAATGTCAAAGAGATCCATATGCTAACACACAAGTTATGTCTGGAAGTTACAAAAATGCTTATTTTCTGCCCCTTTTTGGCCCCTAATTCCTTAACTGTTGGTACCATAACCCCCAAAATCAATCCCCACCTTCCTATTGTGGTATTGAACCTTATGGTAAAATTTCATAGAGATCCATTCACTTAAACTAAAGTTAGAGTGCGAAAACCATTGTGTATTCGGACGATGACGCTGGACGACGACGACGACGACGCCAACGTCATACCAATATACGACCTCAAAATTTTTTTGCGGTCGTATAAAAATGGCAACTTTGATGGCAAATCTTTAAATAATTTCTTTTAAATCAATTCATACTTTTTTTTATAAACTTTGGATGACCTAGAGCTTGACATTTAATATGAACACTTTTTTAAACATCAAATGTTGAGGACCATATATTGCCCTCAATATGTCTACTGGTTAGTTATATTTTGTCTATATATAAGCTGTCTCATTTTCATAACCAACACCTTTCTTTATCCACATATATAATTTTGCATATAAAAACCTAATCAAAAAGCTTTAAAAATTCAATTACAAAGCCACATGACCATAACTGAGGGTTCCTGTATCATAAGTATTTTATTCTGAAATGGTTCGAATCAGAAAACTTCACATTAGATAATGATGATGGATGCTAGTCAACAACCTAACTGTCTGCAGATACCAGTAGACATGTCACCTTACCAAGACGCATTACTTAAGACTTCAGCAAACCAGTCTTTGCTCTTACTCCTAAATACAATGTGCTTAGTGGAGAAGCAGCAAATCCATGACCTCCAACACTTAAGGCAAGAAAGCTACCGCGAGATCACAGAGGCAATCTTCACATAAGATATTACTCACACAGTGGCAGAAAGTAACATTGATAATCTCAGACAAAAAATACCTGGAGGTGCTTCTGAGTCTGTTATTTCTTTAGTTATTTCTATTTTAAGGAAAGTGACTGATGTGTCTGTTCCATCATCACAAGATATTACAATCTCATATTCAGGATTCAGGTCTTTGTCCAGTGTAGCATTGCTGTAGAGGTATATTGTCTTACCTGGAAAACATGTCAAAGACTATATCAAATTATTAATTTATGTTCTAATGAACAACAGTATTAGAGAAGAATCACCTTGACCTTCATCTGACCTTGAAAATGGTCAACCATGTGGTATCAAGACAATTATGTGGATCAATTACAGACTGTTTAGCCTAAGTTGGAATATTACTGTTTTGCATGTAAGACATAACTAAGAAGACAGCTGGAGGGTTTCACTCAAACCAATCAAAAAAAGAAGGAAACAAATTGTTTTTGTTGAAGTTCATAGTGTCAGATGCTATTAATATACATTCAGCTATACTATTTAATAACTGATAATATTTTTGATATTTTTGAAGTTTTACCACATCAAATAAATTCCTATGAATGTTTAACAAAAATTATTTATATAAAAATAAGAAGATGTGGTATGATTGCCAATGAGACAACTCTCCACAAGAGACCAAATGACATAGAAATTAACAACTATAGGTCAATGTACCGCCTTCAACAATGAGTAAAACTAATACCGCACAGTCTGCTATAAAAGGCCCCGAAATGACAAATGTAAAACAATTCAAATGAGAAAACTAACGGCCTGATTTGTGTACAAAATAATGAATGAAAAACAAGTATGATATACAGCAACAAACGACAACTACTGAATTACGGGCTCCTAACTTGGGACAGGCACATACAGAATGTGGCTGGGTTAAACTAGTTTGAAGGCGCGCCAATCCTCCCCATACCCTGGGACAGTGGTGTAACAGTAAAACATAAGAACAAACTATAAAAATCAGTTGAAAAGGGCTTAACTCATCAGATCGATACAAAGCAGAAATACATCTAACAAAAACACAGAGTGGACGTGGCAGGGTACTTATACATCCCCACAACAAAAAGACACTAAGTACAAATCTGAGAGTACTCGCAGTTACTGACAGCTAGTTCAAAGCCAATAACAGCTAATAAAACAAGAGTGCACTAACTGAAATGTCTCACCTGCTTTACTGACCATTAATTTTATGTTGATAGTCCTAAATATAAAGCTTTACTACAAGTATCACATAAACTTAACATGATCTAAGAAAATGAGGTCAAGGTCAGATAAACTAAACCGGAAATACCTGTATACCTTACAATCATTCCATACACCAAATATAGTTGACCTATTGCTCATAGTTTCTTAAGAAACAAACTTAATCAGGAAAACTTAACATTGACCAATGAACCATGAAAATGAGGTCAAGGGCAGATGAACCATGCCATACAGACATGTACACCTAACAATCAATCTATGCATTAAATATAGTTGACTTATTGTTTATAGTATCTAAGAAACAAACTTAACCATGAAAACTTAACATTGACCAATGAACCATGAAAATGAGATCAAGATCAGATGATACCTGCCAGACAGACATATTAACCTTACAATCATTTCATACACCAAATATAGTTGACCTATTGCTATAGTATCTAAGAAACAATCTTAACCATGAAAACTTAACATTGACCAATGAACCATTAAAATGAAGTCATGGTCAGATGATACCTGCCAGACAGACATATACACCTTACAATCATTCCATAAACCAAATATAGTTGACCAATTGCTTATAGTTTAAGAAAAACAGACCAAAACACAAAAACTTAACACTGAGTAATGAACCGTGAAAATGATGTCAAGGTCAAATGAAATCTGCCAGACTGACTTGTACATCGTAAAATATTTCCATACACCAAATATAGTTTACCTATTGTATATAGTATTAGAAAAAAAGACCAAAACACAAAAACTTAACTTTATACACTGAACCATGAAAATTAGGTCAAGGACAGATGACACCTGCCAGTTGGACATGTACACCTTACAATCATTCCATACACCAAATATAGTAGACCTATTGCTTATAGTATCTAATATATGGACTTGACCATGAAAACTTAACCTTGTTCACTGATCCATGAATGAGGTTGAAGTAAGATGAAAACTGTCTGACAGACATGAGGACCTTGCAAGGTATGCATATACATGTACTAAATAAGTTATCCTATTACTCATAATAAGAGAGAAATTAACATTACAAAAAATCTTAACTTTTATTTCAAGTAGTCACTGAACCATGAAAATGAGGTCAAGGACCATGGACATATGACAGACGGAAACTTCATAACATAAGGCATCTATATACAAAGTATGAAGCATCCAGGTCTTCCACCGTCTAAAATATACAGCTTTTAAGTAGTTAGTTAATGCTGCCACCACTGCCAGATCACTATCCATATGTCGAGCTTTCTGCGACAAAAGTTGAAGGCTCGACAAAAATCATGCATCTAAGACTAAAATACATCAATCAGTACACATCCAACATCCAATGGATTTAGGATAAATATGTCATTTAACAGTCAGAGAAAAACATGACCTTGTGCAATGCCAAGATACAGGTATCGACAGATTGTAGAGCCATGAATGTCCATATGTATATAAAAATAATATTTAGTTTGATTTTAATTTACTGATAACAAAATCAATATTAATACCAATAAAAACAATATTTAAAGATCTATTATAGTGTTGAATTGGTAACCTTTAAGAATAATTTTATTGAAAGGATCAATAAGTTTATACCGATTGTATCTAAATTTCCAGGTTCGGTAAACAACATCTCCGTAAAAATTTGAATGTACTTAAAAATAAGTTTTCTACAGGTACAACCAAACTTCCAAACCAAATCTTTATATCTATGGAAGAATTAAGTAAAGGTTTTAAGTAATTTGTGGTAACAAATTTTCTGACTTAATAATTTACCAGTTATACATAGATTATGTTCATTGAAATCCAAAACGTCACAGCAGACACGGGCATAGCCAATGAGCTGTGATATATAAACACTGTAAGATGGTGGCAAAGGAACATCACCATCCAAAAAAGGAAAATTAACTATAGGGAACGAAAAATTGTCCTTTTTGTCGTAAATTTTAGTGTAGATTTTCACGTGTAAAACTGAAATATCTAAATGTAGGAATGGACAGTTATTACCGTTTATATTTGATTTATTTAAAGTAAGTTCCTTTGAGTATATTTCAGCAGTATATTAAGAAAATTCTTGATTATTTAACGAAAAATATCATCAAGATAACAATAAGTCTTGTTGAATTTATCAATAAAATGCAATTTAGACGAGTCTTTACTCAGTTTGGTCATAAACTTGGATTCATAACAGTACAAGAACAAGTCTGCTATTAAAGGGCGCAATTGGTGTCCAAAGGAATACCTACAACCTGTCGATAAACTTTATTGCCGAAACGTACATAAATATTATCAAGGAGAAAATTATTGTGACTTGACTGTTAGTGTTGCTCTCCACTTATTGCAACTTATTCAAAATTCTGACCAAATTGCAATTTGTTTTATAAAACCAAACTGTTCAACTGGTCAGAAATTTGAACAAAATGCTGTAGAAAACCACAGTAAAGTTGTGAAAGTGCAAGGTGATAAAATAAAGCATACTTACAATCCTATAAGACTTTAATTCCACTTCAATGTTATTATGAAAAATCAGTCTAACAGTTTGTATAGAAAATTTATATTCAGTAAAATATGTGTGAAATTACAATACGTTGTTAGGAAGTTTCCATGGGAGATAATCAATTTTTCTTTCGAAAAGTCTTCTATATTCAAAAGAATAATGTTTTAAGTTATCTCCCATGGAAACTTATTAACAATGTATTGTAATTTCACATATATTTTACTGAATTATTCTGAGCTTGTGATCACTGTCAGGTGTGAATTAAAACCACAGGTAAAAAGTGATTAGTGATCATTAGCCAATGTTTCCCGGAGGCATTGGTATAGATATTAGGAGGGCCCTCAGGATTATCAAACTATCTAGTGGCAGTTTTATTACAGGAAAGGGATTATAAACAAAAACAAGTGATCACAAGTGCAAAATGGCGATTACGAAATCCGATTTCAAACATTGAGTCAATTAAATGACAGAAATTACTTCTGTAAAAAAATAAAATTTGTCCTAAATCCCAATTACTCGTTTAGGACAAATAGTTTCATCTTAGGACATGACTGGCAAATATGATCGTTTCCGGACCCTTGATTCCGAATATCTGACAAAAATTCAAAAACAAGAGGAGCGAACATCCTTAAAGCATTATTTCCAAATTATAAGTTGACAGTTGTTATCGAGATGGAATCTCTAACTGAGGATCAGAATTATTAAAAAAATCTTGAAATTTTGACTTTCAACATGAATTAGAGATTACATCACATTCCATCAATCACTTATATGTATGTTTACGTTTTTTTCAATAATTTTGCTTTCGTACTGACTTTAGTTAGCTTTTTTCTTTTTTATTCATTAAAAGCAGGTATATTTTAGCATAGTTATTTACAATGTAGGAAGTTTTCTCTGAAGAAAATATAAAAAAAGTAGAATTATTAATTAGTTCAGTTAATTTTAAAGATCAAAATTTATAATTATAATGACAGAAATGATTGAATCCTTTTGTTGGATAACCACCTTAATTATAGGTTATAAAACTGCCAATGGAGTACAATTTATAACCTGGGGCAAAATAATGTAAATCTCCATCTTAATTAGACAAACAGTAATTGAAATAAAAACAAAGTATGTGTCTTATATAGTGATTAGAAGACTTTGATCATCTGATTAGTAAAGACAAGAAGTTTGTTAAGATTTTTTTATTCTCTAATAAAATTATAAACATTATATATTTATAGTGTCAACGAGGGATACATGTATCTTTTTCTGAAAAGAAATTCAATGCATAGGCATTGGTTCATCGTTAAAAGGATTTTGTGTACTTTCTTATTTTTTATATACATGCATATCATAAGATTATAAGAAATCAACTGTTTATCTATTCTAAGCTTAAATCTTATTGAAAATTATGCTTTTAGGAAATGTAATACAAATAAGCTTACTACTTTAAGGAAGTACAGAACTTAACTTAAGACACATTTCTTATTTTAAATCTAA